AAAAAAAACCAGACCAGTAGAAATTAGCAGTACAATTGTCCCAGCTATCCTGTGTACATACACATACTTTTTTCCTTCCTTCTTTCTTTTCTCCTTTCCCTCATCCCAATTGTTCCTTCCCTTTGAGCAGTTTCTCTTTCACAGCATCTGTTATACCTTTTGGATTTTATTTACTCTTTTCAGATTCTTAAGCTAGGGAGACAATATGATGTTTATACATGGAAGGTCTGATTTATTTCACCTATGGGTATATTGACCTATATAGCTGTATCTATTGACCTATAAAAGCCTTGAGTTTATCTTTTCTATAACTGAATAATACTCTATTGTATAAAACTGCCACATCTTTTTTATCTATTCCTCAGTTGATGGGCATTTTGGTTATTTCCAAGATTTAACTATGACAAATTTTGCTGCTGTAAACATGGGTGCACCTATGTCATTGTGGTATGAGGTTTTTAGTTCTTCTGGAAAATACTCAGATGGGAAACAGATGAGTCTAATGGGACCTCTTATCCTAGTTTTTTGAGGAATCTCCACACTGATTGCCATAGTAGTTGTACCAGTCTGCATTGCCACCAACAGTGGAGAAAGGTTCCCTTTTCTCTACAGCCCTTCTAACATTGTTATGAATTGACTTCTTGATGTTAACCATTCTTCCTGGGGTGATATAAAATCTCAGTGTTGTTTTAATTTGCATTTCTCAAATGACTAATATTGGGGTCTTGCTGGTTAGCTCAGTTGTTTAAGTGCCTGCTGGGATAAACCCAGTCAGGTGCAGGGGACCATGGTTCGATCCCCAGTTCCCCATGTTTCCCCAGACCTGCCCTTAAGCAGCCTGAGCCAGAAAAAAAAAAAAAAAATCCTTCAAGTGACTAATATTGTTGATCGTTTTTTCATATATTTATTTGCCATTAATATTTCTTCATTTGACAATTGCATCTCAGATGCCCATTTTTTTTATTGGTCTTTGAATTTTGGGGGCCCGAGTTTTAGAACTTCTTTTTAGGCTCTGGATAGAAGTCCTTTGTCTGAGGGACAGTTGGCTAAACTTTTCCCAATTCATGGGTTTTCTTTTTACTCTGTTGGTGATTTCTTTTAATATGCAAAAACTTTTCAATAAGATGAGATCCTTGTTGTTGATTTTTTTGAAGTATTTCCTCTGTAGTTTTCATGAACTCTCTGTCTACTCCTACCTCTTCAACATTTTTACCTACATTCTCATCCAGTAGTTTTAGTGCTTCTGTTTTCATATTTATTTTGACTTTAGTGCATGGTAATAGACAGGGGTCTAATTTTAGCCTTTGGCATGTGGAAAGCCAGTTTTTCCAGCACCATTTATTAAAGAGGCTATCTTTCTTCCAGTGAACATATTTTTGGCCTCTTTGTCAAAGATAAGGTGGCTGAGTATGTTTGTAGTTGTGTCTGCATCTTCAAATCTGTTCTATTGATCCTCTGCCAGTACCATGCTGATTTTATCACAGTAGTTTTGCCATGTAATTTTAAGTCAGGGATTGTGATGCCTCCCGCCTTTCTTTTGTTGCCTAGGAGTGCCTTTTGCTATTCTAGGTCTCTTCTGGGTCTAGATGAATTTTTGGAATGTTTTCTCTAGATATTAATTGTACTAATTAGGATTGCATTCAATCTGTATAATAATTTTGGGAGTATGACCATTTTCACAATGTTGATTCTTCCTATCCACTGTTGAGGTATTTTCTAATCGTTGGTGCAAACCAACCCCAAGGAATAGCATTGATGGTGAGTCACCTCTCATGCATAAAGGTTGATCTCATAATAGCCAGGTTTTATATTGTTTGTCTCAGACTTCCAGATGTTGAGTTTTTCCCCTTATTATGCAGATCAATATGTATCTTTGTATATCATTTGCTCTTTTTTT